AAAAGGGGCGAACAAAGATTCTAAGCGCCTAAAAATGGGCGAAAAAATATTTATAGCGCGAAAAAAATATTCAAAGCGTGTAAAATAGCGCGAAACAATATTCAAAGCGCCTAAGAAAGCGCGAAACAATATTCGAAGCGCCTAAAAAAGGGCGAACGAAGATTCTGAGCGCCTAAAAATGGGCGAAAAAATATTTAAAGCGCGAAAAAATATTCAAAGCGCTTGAGAAAGCGCGAAACAATTTTCAAAGCGCGTAAAATAGCGCGAAACAATATTCGAAGCGCTTAAAAGTCGCGAAAAAATATTCAAAGCGCCTAAGAAAGCGGGGAACAATATTGGAAGCGCGTAAAACAGCGCGAAACAATATTCGAAGTCTCTAAAAAATCGCGAGGAAATATTCAAAGCGCCTATAGACAGTGAAAGGGTTAACAATATCACATTAAACAGAAGTAAAATAAGAAAATATTGTCCATTACCTTTTTAAACGTTGCTATATTCAGATCTCCCAGATTAATTCAAAGGTTAATTATAACAAAATGGAGAATAAGTGTCGAATTTTATTAAATGTTAATACTAGTTAATACGTCGTATTCTTAGATTACGAAAGTTCAAAACTAGACTATGATTCGATGTTATTGTTAGTTAATCTGAATCAGAATCAGACTCTACCCACTTATGTCAACTTTATCATTGGTGGATTGTCTGGGTAAAATATTATTATTTTATTTAAAATAATCTTCAATTTCATATTTTTCTTCGTCGATCATCCTTTTCGTTGTTTCTGCAGTGCTATGGGGCAAACTGTGACGCATCCTTTGGATGTGACTAAAGTACGAATGCAAATCTCGAAAGCCTCTTTGGTCGATGTAGTGAAAGCTAGCTTACAAGAAGTTGGAGTAAGTGGATTTTACATTGGTTGGACTGCAGGACTTCTAAGACAGTTGACATACACTACGACCAGGCTTGGAATATATACCACTCTGTACAACTGGGCCCAGTAATTAAAATTCTGACCTATCTTTTCCTTTAAAATAAGTAACGTCGACTCGAGAATGAATTTTTCGCGACGAAAAAGCACCAAGTATTCAAGTTAAAAAGAAAATAAGATACTTTTCTATTTACCTTGAATCTTAAAGGTAAAAAGATCGAATAGAAGATTAAATTATTCGTTTTACTTAGAAGTTTCAAGCAGCTCGTCTTAAGCTCGTTTAAATTGATATTTCAATTAAAATAACATTCCACTTCTTAGGAGAGTCATTTTATTTCATATTTTTCTTTGTCGATCATTCTTTCGTTATTTATTTTACTCTTCGCGGTTTAAATGTCGAAGGAATTGTATTTTTTAAGAGATTAATATTTACGTTGAATATAATAATTACACTACCGGGCAAAAGTTTGGGATCACCTCCCACTTTTCGTCAATATTAAATCTGCTGCTAATTTTTTATAGATCTCAAGTTTATCTCAATTCTACATTTATCAATTTACCTCGCATCAATCGATTCGAACGATAAAAAATTCTCAGGAAATTTTTGTGTAAATTGTAATGCTCGGTGATTCGAAACTTTCGGCCGGTAGTGTATGTAAAATATTAATGTTTTCGTATTTTAACATACAATTTCATTGCAAAGATTATATCGTGTTTTATGTGACGCGTAACACTTGAATTTTAGAGTTAATTATCGAGAAGTGAATATACATTTCAGATCACAGTTCGATCATTTAAATTACCCTGCAATGATCGGTATCGGAATGATATCCGGTGTCATGGGTTCATTCATCGGAACACCGACCGATTTGGTTCTAGTTCGTATGATAGCTGATATAAAATTACCTCCAGGTGAGTGTCGATAACGTTCAGTTTACAGAAGCAAATCAAATCTACCGAATTTGTAGAAATCGTCCAATTAATTCTAACAAAATTAATCTATACTTTAATCAATCAAATAAATAATACATTCTTCGTACTTGATATTTTATTAATTTTCTATCAACCTTTTCCCATCAAAAATCCTTCACTTACGTCAAATCATTTAACAGGTATTTCATATACGAAAAATAATATTTTTTAATATTAAAAATTCGAAGGATAAAGAAAATTTCATTTTGCATGCCTACGATAAATTTCATTAAATTACCAACGCAGCTGCAATTGTTAATCTGTTCCCTCGATTCGGTAAAATATCGAAATGACACATATATCGAAGGACGAATTTTTAGAACAGCGATGGAATTACAGAAATGCCATAACCGGGCTAATTGATATTTCGAAGGCAGAGGGTATCGCTGGATTGTGGAGAGGAGCTGTGCCAACGATGACCAGAGCAGCAATAGTGAATGGAATGCAATTAGGCACATACAGCAGAGCGAAATTGATGTTCAAAGATACTGGTACTTATTGAAATCAAGCTATCACTATAATTATCACATTGTAATTTCGCTAAAAGTGTTCTGAAGTAGTCTGCCAAGTGTTTTCATGTATCGTTCCTCTTCTATTCGATAGAAAATCCATTTTAGCGTATCTAATCGTCTTTTAGTTATCATTGAACCCTCCGTCGGGCGCACCTGATCTCTCTAACCATAATTCATTTATGCATGTAGACGCAATGCGTTGAGCAATGAATGTGCAAATGTGCTTAAAATGTTTTTTGTTTACACTCATGTTCTTCTATCATTCCTATGGTTAGTTACTTTCCACTTGGTACAAGACCTCTTGAAGGCCGATCTCTAAGATCCAGTGCGCCCGACGAAAGGTTAATTACCTTTTGTATTCGATAGAAAATCTGTTTTAGTTGTATTGAAAAGTAAATTTTTAATGACATATCATGCAAATAATCACAGGTTTTTTTTTTAAAGAAGGCGAATTATTGCCATTTTGCAGCAGCAATGGCAGTTCAGTTACCATTTTGGAAAATCTGTATCTAGTGCTTTCGTGTATTATTCCCTATATCCAGTGTTTTCGTATATTACTCCCTATATCCAGTGTTTTCATGTATCATTCCTCTTGCATTCGACAGAAAATTCATTACAGCGTATCTTATCACCTTAAGTTACCATTTTGGAAAATCTAAATCCAGTGTTTTCGTATATTGTTCCCTAAATTCACTGTTTCCATACATCGTTCCTTCTGTATTTCACAAGAAATCCATCATAGTGTATGTTATTACCTTTTAGTCACCTTTTCTATTCCACAGGAAATCAATTTTAACTCGTTCCTAATTCAAAAACAATTTTTACTAACAAATAAATCGTAAATAATCACAGGTTTTTTCGAAGAAGGAATATTATTGTCATTTCTGGCAGCGATGGCTTCCGGATTCGTGATGTCAGTGACTTCACTTCCAGTGGACGTAGCTAAAACTAGGCAATTACCAAAATTTCCATAAATTCGTATAATTATTTTATTTAGTAATTCCTCTATGTGCGTAATCGTTTCTGTTAGAATACAAAATTGGACTTCACCAACGAAACCACCAGGAGTGATTGGTATGATTAGTAACATAGCGCAAACAGAGGGACTACCAGCACTGTGGCGTGGATTTTTACCGTACTTCAGTAGAGCAGCACCTAATGCCGTAGTCACTATGATATGTCTCGATCAGTTGACACAATTGTACATCAAAGTGTTCATGTCGGCTGAATGAACAAGATATAATTAACGTTAATACAATAAAAACTTCTCGTACTATTAAAATACACTTCGTTTCTTCGTGGTTCTTTTTAATTCAATTCTAAAAAAAATGATCCAAAATGAATACCCTATACAATCAGACTGTCCTTTAATCTTCAGGCTCGTGGTTAATTTAATTTATGGAAAAATTGTTAATAATGCTAAATTCTTGTCACTGTCGTCTACTTTGTTTTAATATTGAGTTCAAGAGGATGGTACAATCGGTGGAAGAAATGTAACGAGCGTTTTTCCATTTGGACTGAATCAAAGTTAACAAAAAAAAAAAAAAAATAGTAAAAAAGTGAAAGAGATTATATTATTGAAAAATTCTTCGAATAGAAGAATTTATATTTTTATATTTCGAATTTATATTTCTGACTAGATGTTTCTTCTGTCGATTACACACGCGGCAAGGAACGCGTTAAGAACATTAATTTCATAAAAATATACAATATATTTTACCAATGTATATTTCACATAGAAAAGTAACGCATGTTCGCGCAACAGTCGACAATTAGTCAGTCCATTTGAAGGATAGGAAACACTTCGCAGAGTGTGCAAGCTCGAGTATTAAGATTTTCTTCAGAAACAAGCGTTTCAATGAAAATTATGAAATGAGATGTGTCGGTGTGAATGTCTTTCGACATATTTTTAAATAAACAGCTGCATAAGCGTGTCTGTTTCCTTAGTTTTAATTGAATAAGGCAAGAACAGATTCTTGACGCATTTTCTTTCAGTTAGGTAGGCTTTTTTTCTTGTTCAAATTGAATTTGTTGAAAGTCGATGAATAAATACGATTTAAACGACATTGTATTTATCTATAACGCGTGACGTCTGTACGCATTCGCGATTTGTTCGTTAATTATAAAAGTCAACACTGTGTGCGGGCCTATTCGACAGTACGTAGGCCAGAAACCCTTCCAAAGTGCTCCTATCCCTTCATTTTTCGCTATTGATAACAACATCGTTATCATGCCAGGTGGTTTTCCTGTGCTTTTCAAGTTTTGTATCCTGAAAGTGGAAGATAGAGAAAAATTTATGATTCTTTGACGAATTATTTCAACTATTTCATTTTTTAATTTTAATTTTCTTTTTAGTATATACGTATTACTATTAAATATTAATCAAAATTAAATCGTAATCAAAATTTGGACACGTGGATTAGGATACTAATCGAAGCTTTACCAAAATGTCACAGTGAATAATGATAAATTGGTAAGAAGCAATATTCAGAGATATAATTTCACAAGTATAATAGTGAAATTTCAAAAAATGAGGAAAATTGTAATTAATTAACGTGTGAATGCGTAACTAATTGGTAAAATTGACTGTACCTTGTTTTAGTTATATCAAATGGCATAGAATTAAACGTTGTGATGAATCCAGATAACATGGAAGCACAGAAATGCAAACCAATACCTTCCTTCATTTGTCCTGTGCAATTAAACCAAATTATATCGAACATTATATTAAAAGTATATATAGTAAATTACGTTAAACAATTACGCTATATTATTTTAAAGATAAAACGTTTAATTATCACATTTAACATAAAATGAGTTATTAAAGAAAAAAAGATCAGAAGCAATTAATTAAATTTACGAGTGAAAATACCTTTCGAGGCAATTAAAAATTTGGCCTGACTGTAAGTTGCGAGCTGAGATACATTAACCACCACAGCTCGTCCCATAGTTGCGATACTTCCTCTCCAAAGGGTTGTAACCCCTTCATCTTTCGCTATTTTCGCGAATGCGTGAAATACGTTTTTGTAATTTCTTCTTTGCTCTGCATAAAATAATATTAAAATCACAGAATTAGTCGGATAAGCTGCTTAATAATATTCTACAATAATTGTCTAAAAAAGAAAGAACGGTAAGAAGAAAATTGACGAAATGATCATTTCTGTATTTCTATTTTACTTGACGTAGTATCTTAATGCAAATTGTCTTTTATCGTTTATTACGTAGATTCTTGTTTGAACAGATTTCTACGTTACTTAAGGTAAATTTAGCGTTCAATGAATGGAAACGTAAATATAGTAACCTTTAGGCAATCTACCGTCTGCTGTCATTCTTACGAGAGCAACTTCCGCCGGTGTGCCTACGAAAGCTCCAGTGGCCCCAGCGGTGCCTGCCATAAGCGATAATGTGCCGAAACTGGGTATCCCGGTGTATCTCTGTCTAGAAAAAATTGAAAATTAAAAAAGGTATTTTATATTCTTAGAATATGAAAAGTCGAAAGTATAAATGAACGAGTGATACATTTTAAACAGTCGTTCCTAAGAAAACAAGTTAAAAGTAATAAATTAGGGGACATCACTGTTAGAAAATTGCTTGTCATTTTAATTTTTCTTACTTATTTCTTCAATTTTTATTTTTATTCAAACGTGAATTTTATAATACTCTACTTTTTCGCAGTTTCGTCGAATTGAGATGAGTACAGAAATTCGTAGGACAATTTTTTCACCGTGAAACGGACCAAGTATCCTAAACTCACTTCCAGTAATCCTGTAGTTGATTATAAATACCAAGTCTGACGGTAGTGTACGTCGCTTGTCGTACAAGACCAGCACTAAGGCCGGAATAAAATTTCAAAATTCCCTCGTTTCGATATATGGAATTGATCACAGATCCGATTGAAGTCTTCTCCTGCTGTACTTGAATCCGATTCTTTATCACATCCATAGGATGAACTACACAGGTTGCACCCATGCTGCAAATTCGTGATAATGAACGTTATAATGTAAACAACATTAAGTTGTAAAAAGGAAATCAGAATTATGACGAATTTGTCGCTGTGAAAATATTTCAATTTCAGGAAAGTCGTTACATAAATGAAATGGAATTGGAAAATAAATAAGATTGAATTAGAAAGTAAATAATTGGAAATGGGGAATAAATTAATTTTGGTTCAATAGGTTTGCATACGTCTCTCTTAGAAAAATTACACGTAAACGTCAATAAGAACATTTTTCTGCCACTGATACTACGCTAAAAATAATCTCCTAACTTTCTATACTTTATCTAATTTTAGATAAATGCAAAAGTGAAAAATGACACAAGACATTATCGAAGAAGATAAATTATCTGATATTGCATTAACTCACCCGGAAAGTCCAGCATTTAGAAAATTAAATGCCGGAGGTAATGGCTCCTTTTTTTTCTCAGGTTGTTGCGGTGCAGCTTTATCAGACATTTTGTAATACCTTTCGAGTCTTTAGACATGTAACGTTTCCGAAAATTTGTCAATTTAAACACCTCGGCAATGTCGAGTAAACAACATTTACAAATGTGCGAAAGGAAAATAACTTAGAAGAGATAGAGGTGTACGAATGATACAAGGAACTCTTCCGAAAGTGTTCATCTAGTAAATGTTACAACAAGCGTTGTACGTACGATACGTTATCGTACATGCAATTGATAACTACTTATGTTTAATATCGATTCCAAATGATATCGATTTCAACAACCAGCAGATAGCTTCATACGTGAATTATCGAAATTTCACTTGCTTCGATTTTTGCAAATTTCAAAGGTGAACAAAGTCGTTAATTAACATGAACATTTCTTCGAGGCTGCAGCATCGCCATTTTTTAAAGAAATTGAATGAAAAAAATTCTTTTGTATTCGTCGAGGATAATATAATAAAGCGGTGATGAAAATTTTTGCATTGGGTCAACTATTTTCTTAAAAAAAAATTCCAAAGTTAGGTATAATTTTCAGAGATTTTTCTCAACATTTCCCTTACTTAACTTGTGAATGAAGTAAAATGAGGAATATGTGTAAAGCGACAGATTTATTTCTTCTTAATTAGTACATTTTGTGCTGTCTATTGTTTACTTCATTTATTGTAACAATATTGAACTTTATTTTTGAAAATATTGCGTTAACATTCAGAAACATTTTCTGACTTATAATTCCTTTATTCCTGTAATAGTGAGTGTTTAAAATATATTTCAATCTCTGCAAAATGTTTACAAAACGTGCTCCGAATTAAAATTTCCAAAAGTGTAACAAGTTTCATTTTAAAGGATTTTTAGTTAACAAATATCGAAACCCTGAGATGCTTGTAACATTGATAAGATAAAATCGAGATCAGAATATTTTTCTTATCTTCTATTTCCCTTCTTTATTATTATAAATACAAAATCTTTTCCTCGGGAACGTATTTCGTACACACTCGAGGAACTCTTCTTCTTTTGGGCTTCGTATCGATTGTCTCTCCCTTCTTTTTAGGTACTATTAAACCCATTTCTTTTTTGCACTCCTATAATTCCAAAAAAATTGGGATAAAAATTAAAATTCAACGAATAAATTGATCAACATTGAATACCATATACCTCGACAGCTTTCAAAATTGGGAAAAGTGGCCTGACGCCTTTCGATTCGTTCAAAATCTCTTCCGCGTAATTCAGAATTCTTCGATTTTCGATTTCCATAATTTTCGTCATATTTGCCATTTCTTCGTCGGCAATCTGCTCTTCTTTCCGTACAGTTTCTCTTTCGCTCTGTAAACGTGCAAAAAGAGAGATAATTCTACTGTTAATCCAAAGAACAAACTTCTCAACTAATTAAAGCACATTTTTTTCACAAATATTACAATGTATTTCTTCAGCATATTTCCATATTCGATTCTCTTCTTCCACTCCTGCTTCCGTTCTTCAGCCTCCATTTCCTTGTCCCATTCAGCTCTTTTAAATCTTTGTACAGTTTCCCACGTTTTCACGTCTTTTTCTTCTCGAAGCTGCTTAGACTTCGCGACTGAAGTTTCCATTTGAATATCGTTCACTTCTTTTCGAAATTGAAGTTTACGCTCTTCTCGTTTCCGTTGTTTCTCTTGGTATTGGGCTTCTTGCTCTTCCTGAGCTTTCTTCAAAATCTTCTCCTCCATTGGCAGTGCTGATTGTAGTTGCGAATATTGTTGCTCAGCTGTTGATATAATTAACGAAGAAATTTTTAAATAGAATCTAGTTTCTTTGTTTTGTTGATTTTTTTGCCGAATTAATTTTATCTGAAGTTTAGTTACTTATTTGTCGAGCTTTCTGTTCCTTTTCTTGCTTCTCCTTCAATTTTACTTCTTTGTGGATCTTCTGTATTCGAGCTTTCGTATTTCGATAGATTTCGTTCGCTCGATCCTCGAATTCTTCTTCGCGTTTCAGCATCAGATCGAATTGTTTCTTCTCCTCGATTGCACCTTTGAAGAATTGCTTCAATTTCTGCTTTTTGGTTAGCAACTGCAAATGTATTTGCACTTTGTACAGTGGTACAGAAGAATTATGCAAAATTTTTAAAAAATTATTGAAGAAAATTAAGAAC